CGTCACTAGAGCTGACCAATCACCAGAGTCCCCAGCGGCTATATTTCTCAGGCAGGCGGGCGGGCGGGGTCGTATTAAGGCCCAATTGTTTCCATTGATTGTAATCACAAAACACTCGTGAGCCCAGCCTTCATCCATTTTTAACTATTGGTGGCCTTTAAATATTTCATCAGTCTCTCCTTGTGTGTTGATCTTTTTAAATCGCAACCTTCGACTTGGCCCCAATTTGCATAATTGCTCGACAGTTCGTTCTCGACTTTGAAAAAACGTAACAGATTTAAGATAGGCTCTCATCTATACACTCATGGACATAACTTGGGGAAGTGAATAGTCTTTGATGTTGCTGGTCGTCTTTCTTTTTTTTTTATAAGGAGACAGAGACAATTTTGTTCCAGCCAAGCCCTCCAATATATTTTTTAATCGCTGTAAGGGCAGTAGAAGTTTGATTTATATGTGAAAAGAAACATTCACGTTTTGGTGTTTTCATTTGTATTATATAGATGGCGTGTTATTGCTTTGTATTAATGAATATTGTAGCGTAGAAATCTCAAGTCTTGGAATATCTTAAGATGTAAAAGTATTTATTGATGACGTCATTACGACTAGTCGACAATTATAATTGACAATTATCAACAAACATACATCTTCTTTTAACTTGCCCTCTGACTAATCAAATTGTATGTAGATACTTTGAAACATTACCAAATTCTCTTTGTGTATATACTCTATCTTATGAGAACTTTGTTAAGTTTAGAACTATTTGTACAATAATTTACAAAACACTACTAATCCATCGTGTAAACAATTAATCATATATATGTAAATAATACTAGCACAGCACAATAGTCCTTTGGACTTCGTGCTTTTGTAACAATAAATTAAAAAAAAGATACTTTCTACAGCTAGAGAATATTGAACAAGCAAGCTATGGAACATGTATGATGGTTTCACAAATTCATAGTAATAATCTATTATATTATGATGCATTAGCGCGCCATCTGTTATCCAAATTCAAAACTATTGTAACATAGTATTTATTAATTTTATTTATGTAACATAGTATTTATTAATTTTATTATTTTTTATTAACAGAGTGGTCATTTTTATATTTATATCTTGCGACTCTGTAAATTTCCCTCGTGGCTTATCTTTTCTTTACAATTCTTAGTTTGTCCTTCCCTGAAATAAATTGTTGTCTCCTCCTGAAGTTTTTGTCTTCCCTAATTTTCACGTGGCACTATTATAGAAATGTATGATTCTTTTTTTTTTTTAATAAACAATTTCTACTGTAAAACGAAATTTGAAATACTATCCCGCATGTGTTTCTTTTTACAAATTTCGTTTTACAATCACAAGCCGCATTATATTATATTGTATTATAAATTTCTACTGTCCTTACTGAAATGGAAAAATTAACGCTGGGAGGGTTCACCACTGATGAGCCAGGCCCTCTCATTAATTTTTCCATTGCAGTAAGGACAGTAGAAATTGTTTATTTTTTAAAAAAGAATCATACGTGCCTATAATAGTTTTGAGTAATAATCTATGTTAAATATTCTCATTGAATAATTAAATTAAATAATAAAATATAAATTATTTCTTTGCCACAATATTTGACCGCTTATAGAAGTAAATTTAATTCGAATCTCAGAATAACGAAGAGAAATACGTTATAACGAGGTTTTCTCTAATAATTGCGTCACTTTAAAAATATTTATTTTCAAAACTTTCACATAAAAAGACATATAAAAGATGGTTTTCATTCTCACAACAAAAACGCGGATTGCAATCCAATTTTTCTAGCTTACTATAAGCTCATATTGAATGGGACAGAAAGATTAAGTGAAACTACCTTTTAAAAAAACGGTTTAAAAAATCTATAAATATAAAAACTACAAAAATAACGTAACTGACCGCTAAGATACCACCCCACCCTCACATGACCCAAATAAAAAATATAAAAAAACTTTCCGTAAATGGAAACTGAGGATTAAGCAAGACTTTGGTAGAAAATCTTGTTTCCTTTATTGATTAAGTGACACACCCACCCACGTTAAATAACTGGATTTCTTTGTATAGGGTTCTTTTACACCAACTTTTACTGTCCTTATTGAGATGGAAATAGTGGGAAGGCTTGACTCATCAGTGGTGAACCCTCTCAGCGATTTCGCTAGTTTTATCTACTAGACCGCTTTTTTTAAATATATTTCTAATACTGAAAGTTGCTGATGGCTTGTGCCATCTATCAGAATAAATATAAACTATTCTAATTGATTTTTAATTATTCCAGAATTGGCCAAATACCCATTCTTGATTAATAAAGAAAAGCTAACTACGGACGCGTTTCGGGCTGTTGGCCCTCATCACCGTGGTGCAAGCTGTACCCAAACGACCAAAAAAACTGGTCATTCAGGCATCCTGAAAAATCATGAAACGGGTAGTTAAGGCCAGAAATGAGTTTTTTGGTCGTTGAGGTACAGCTTGCACCACGCTGATAAGGGCCAACAGTCCAAAACGCGTCCGTGGTTAGCTTTTCTTGATTAATCAAGAATGGGTATTTTGCCAATTCTGGATTAATTAAAAATCAACGAGAATAGTTTATATTTATTCCGATAGATGGCGCAAGCCATCAGCAACTTTCAGTTGCACGATAAGGAGATGTCTTTTTCATAATTTATGCACCATATCCCAGTACAATATCACATTTGTACTATTTTTTCACATATCTAATACTGTTTAGTTTGGATGGATTATTCTGCTTATATATGCTACACTGAAGGATAGAATAATAAAAAGCACGAAATAGTAAAGCCAAAGGTTTCTTTTAAGGTTTTATTATTTCGCTGAGTTTTCTTACATCTTGTAGAAGGGCAGAAATGCTCGAAAGGTCGGAGAAACCAGACTTCAACTAATATCTTGCTATAGAGGGTTAAGTGCTATACAATAAACGTTATATCGAGGTACCAATTAACAAATGGCCATCGTAGATAGCTTCCACAAGGCAGTAACACAACACCACATGACGTCATGGGCATTCTCAAATGGCAGGCGGTATTTTGGAAGACAGCGGCTTTTTGTCCAGTACCTACATGTCATATAACTTACTTACAGGATTATCAAATATCCTATAGCTGCACGTTTCTTCAATTTGAATTCAAACTATGACTAACTTTCAAGTTAAACATCTATTCTTAGGTTGTCGTGTCCAATGAAGAACCTCAGATGTCTCCGTACATCTCTATCACAGCAATATCCTCTATCTTGGGTGTGTAAAGCTGCTGTTCTGGGTTCATATCAATTTCCTGTTGTTGTTGTGTCCAAAGAGCCTCAGATATCCCAATACATCTCTATCACAGCAGTTGCAATGTCCTCTATTTTGGGTGTGTAAAGTTCTGGGTCTAAGTTAATTTTCTGTTGCCGTGTCCAATGAAGAGCCTCAGATGTCCCCATACATCTCTATCACAGAAGTAGCAATGTCCACTATCTTGGGTGTATAAAGCTGCTGCTCTGGGTCCATGTTTGTAAAATAGGTGCCGTTTCCACGTTAGTCACCTTGGACCAGAATTTGATCAAATAACTTTCTCTGTCCCGCACAATCTTGTAGATAACTTGGGGAGCTGGCTGTTGGGATTCAAAGATCAATCTCCATACAATACCTAAGTCACGTTGTTCCCAAACTCGTAAAACCATTCGTTAGGCGTCAAATTAAGTTGTAAAGATAACAATTATATTATGATGCATTAGCGCGCCATCTGTTATCAAAATACGTAACTATTTTAGACGCGTATGATTCTTTTAAAAATAAAACAATTTCTACTGCCCTTACTGCAATGGAAAAATGAATGAGAGGGCCTGGCTCATCAGTGGTGAACCCTCCCAGCGGTTTCACCAGTTTAATCTACCATACCGCTGTTATATTGCATTTTTGGAACTTTCTTTTATAGTGATACTGATGCTAGACTCTTGAAATGGATATTTTAAAAGAACTATGGATATAAGCTTTGAGGACAGTAGAATATCCATAAAACTCCATGATTTGGGTAAAACGAGCTGTTCTTATTGATTGGGTATCCATCATATGACAGTCAGACTCCTAACATACAAGACCGCTACTTTTCCAGAATGGTGTAAAGACCATCCCACAATACACCATCTACAGCACCAAAGAAGCTTCACCAAACCATCTCTTGGAATATATGTGAACCTCAAGACAAAACCTATATTCCAACCCTACCAAGATTATAAATTTGATCTATGAATTCAGTCTACATCAACTTATATAATTATACAAACGGAATAATAATAATAAAACAATAATAATTTATGTGAAAAAAATAGTATAAATGTGATATTGTACTGGGATAAGGTTCAGAAATTAAAAAAAAAAGAAAAAAGGGGCAAGACATCAGTAACTTTCAGTTGTCCGATAAGAATATGCCCTTCTTTTTCAATAATAATTTAGTTTCCACAAAAAACTTTCTTTTTTTTTTATAAAAAAAATACAAACTTTTAAACAATAAATATACCACACGCCCTAAAAAAACAGGAATTTTCGAACTCAGACATACTCCGAAAATGGCTTGTTGACTGGTTCGACTCAAAAGGAATAAAATTTTTCAGACAAGGAATTCGAAAATTGCCTGAAAGGTGGTCCAGGTGTATAGCTAATCAGGGCAATTACTTTGAATAAAAAAATCTTTTGTTGTATGAATTGGTGAACTTTTGAATTCACTGAAAATTTTCGCGTTTCATACTAATAGACCTGGTATAATCGAACGATTCCTCAACCCTCAATAATATTGTTAAACACAAATTCTGAATAGCCATCATACTTGAATGTTTTCTTATCGTTCAAGTTTAAAATCAACCAATAGGAATGTGTGCTACACGTATACAAAAGCAAATTGTCCTAATTGAAAAATAATAATAAAAAAAGAGTCGAACTCTCTATCATAAAACCTATAAGAGAGCTATTTTTGTAAAACGACATTTGAAAATTATCCAGGGTATTCCAGGAATAGCCTAGTGGGCATGGCATCTGCCCTGTAAGCGGAACACTGTGGGTTCGATTCCCATCCCTGGACACTTTTATTTTTCCGTTTATCATTACTCTTTACAATTCATCCTTTCATACCTCATCCCTAAGGTTAGAAATGATCGTTATTTCTCCTTGGAATAAATTTTGATTTTTCATTGAAAAGAAACTCAAGCGGGATAATTTTCAAATGTCGTTTTACAATCATAAGCCGCATTATATTATGGAGCTATTTTTGCTTGAGAAAATTTACATAAAAAGTAAATCATTGTTAAAAAATTCTTCCATCATTTTAAAACCTTTTTTAAAATTTTACTTTAAATCATGTAAATGTATACACAATCCACGTGGTATCTATATCTATCTATATATATACAAATCAATGTTTGTATGTTTGTTTGTTTGTATGTATGTCCGGTATACAAATTCGCAGTAGTTCACTAATTCAAACCAAAATTTCCATACATAGGTAAAGAAATACGGGGAAGACGATAGGCTATTTTAAAAAATATATAAATCAATTATTAAAACTATATATTCAAATTATTCTACTTAGCTCACGAACAGCGCCCTCTATCAAAGATTAGATTAAATTATGCTGATGCAAACAAATAGATAATGCTAATAACAAACAATTATATTTAAAAAATCTTATCAAAATATATATCACTCGGGTAGATATGCACATGGGTCAATCCCGGGGCGAAGCCCGGGTCACCCGTCTAGTTATATTATATTGGTATCTTTTAAACACAAGAAATATATGATCGAACTATTCCTTAACCCTCAATAATATATTAAAACACAAAATCTCTCTCTCTCTCTCTCTAAATAACCATTATATTTTAAAGTTTTTATTATATCGTTCGAACAGAGAGAGTTTAAAACCAAACAATAGGAATGTGCTACACGTGTACAAAAAGCAAATTGTCCTAACTGAAAACGGCAAAAAAGAGTCGAAATCTCTCTTTATTATAAAACCTATAAAAGAGCCATTTTCGCTTGAGAAAGTTTGAAAAAAAAGTAACTCATTGCGAAAAATATTCTTCCATCATTCAAAACCTTTTTACAAATTTACTTCAAATGATGTAGAAAAACAATTCACGTAGTATCTAAATCGTATACAAATTACGCAGAGTCTTTTTTAAGGTATGCAAATCAAAAAGGAATGATGAAATTACTCGAATCATCGTCCTCCATTGAGAAATACCAGAAGCCTTAGATCACACACCAGAGCGATGTCTACAGAACGGGTATTTAGCATGCAGGACTGTACGTCCAAGGCATGTCAAGGTCCTAACAGGTGTGACCCTGGTGGTCATCTTCCTATTTCCATATCTCCAGGTGGAGTGTGGTTGGTTGACCCCTCTCTCTGGCCATGACTAACCGCTAAAAAACTCCGTATCGTTCTTTAGGAAAAAAAATCTCTTGATCGTGCAATTGGAAGTTGCTGATGGCTTACGCCATCTATCGGAATAGATGTCAACTATTATATATATATATATATATAAAAAGGCATCTCCTTATCGTGCAACTGAAAGTTGCTGATGGCAGTTGCACGATAAGGAGATGCCTTTTTCTTAATTTATGCACCTTATCCCAGTACAATGTTACATTTGTACTATTTTTTCATATATATATATATGTTATAAATAATTTGTTTGTTGTTAGATAAAGGGTTGATAAGACAAAGGATCGATAAGATAAAAGGTTGAAGGTGCAGTCGTGATAAAAAAAAAGATAATTATTTACCATCAAGCAGCTTTTATTTTCAATTACTTGAGGAAAAATTACACATTAGTTATTTTCACAATATATAGAATTTATAAAGTTAATCCTATATTAGTGATTTAAAAAGATAGATATGTTAACTACGCATATTTACAACAAAATTGAAAGTCATTCTAAAAACGATGATAACAAAAGTAGAATTATCAATGAATACAAATAAAATATATATTTATCAAAATATTGAAATATTTGAGTTTTTAGATTATATCATATACTAGCCGAATGACCCGGGCAACGCCCGGGTTTTACCTTATTAAATGTACCCTATTCAAATAATATTCGTTACAATTATAAATTGGCGCCGTGGATGTCACTCTTGTGAAACGTCCCGCTCCAAACTTTGTGTCTGAGAAGCGATATTTTTATAGAAAGATGATCTGGCTTTTGTTTTCTGCTCGAATGAATGTTTTTCTGTTAGAATTTTGTTCCTGTATACAAAATAATGAACTGGTTTCACCCGTGGTCTCTGCTTTTTGGAATTTTTCCCGATATAATTTTGTATCTGATAATCAAACATGAAACAGCAATATCGTCATCATCATTTTCTGACTAAAAATATATAGTTTTAATAATTGATTTATATATTTTTTAAAATAGCCTATCGTCTTCCCCGTATTCTTTTACCTGTGTATGGAAATTTTGGTTTGAATTAGTGAACTACTGCGAATTTGTATACCGGACATACAAACCAACAAACATACAAACATTCATTTTTATATATATAGAGATATATTATTTATTGTTGCAATTATCATAAACTAGGTGGCTCTTGTTGAGCGGTACCTAATAAAGTCATTTTGGAAAAAGAAAATTCATTATATTTCAATATATGGATTTACCACGGATTCACCGCAAATGAAGATAAAAAGCAAAAGATAATCACAATCAATATTGAAATAATGGAATTTATATGTTCTTGTCAAAATCGCAGCCAAGAAAGAACAGCCACATGTGGGATAAAGGTAGAATCAATAAGTCCAGTGTTGCTGCACGCTAACTTTAATTAATTAAAATTTATTTAGATCTCTCTCTCAGAAACCCGCGAAAGGAATTAGCTCCGAACTACTTAAGATGGTCTGATTAGGGAAGTCTGGCTTTCAACAATCTTTAATGTTGTTTTCTCATCAGAACTTTACATTTTTAAAACGGTAATGTTGAAATGCCATCACTCTTGTCAAAAAAACACTCATGGAGAGATAAAACTCAATTTTCTTTATTAAATAGATTTTCTAAACGGACATAATATTTCATTTTTTACCATTGCAGTGATGTCTCTAAAAATACTGCCACGTGGAAAATTAGGGAAGACAAAAACTTCAGGAGGAAACAACAATTTATTTCAGGCAAGGACAAACTATGAATGATAAACAAAAGATAAGCTACGAGGGAAATTTACAGAGTAGCAAAATATAAACATAAAAATGATCACTCTGTTAATAAAAATAATAAAATTAATAAATACCTTGTTACAATATAGTTAGCCATTATGAATTTTAAAAGGCGTTAATATAACTTTAATGTTAATAGTAATATGGTAAAAGCGGTATTTCTGGTCAATAAACTCTATGTTGTATTTTGATAACTTCTTTGTTACCACTGTCGATAATAATACACTCATAGAGATCACACTTATGAAAGTGGAAAGACTTTGATGTCGCCGGTCGTCTATTTTTTTTAATTATTATTATTTGAAGGAGACAGAGGTAATTTTGTTCATACCTGGTTATCTCGTTTGTCTTCATTAAAAGTCCCTATGTATCAAATATCTTTCAGAGTTATTGTCATAATCCCGATATATATGCTAAAAGGTACAACTTCCTTAAGTTTTATCCCATGATGTATTTATAAGAATTATTAGTTTCAGATTTTAAGCATAAATCACTTTTTTTTAAAGAGACAGAGATAATTTTGTTCATACCTGGTTATATCGTGTGTCTTCAATAAAGGTCACTGTAATATCTTTCAGAGTTATTATCTGAATCCCGATATACATGGTAAAAGGTACAACTTCCTTAAGTTTTGTCCATGAGTGTATCTTTCAGAGTTATTATCTGAATCCCGATATACATGCTAAAAGGTACAACTTCCTTAAGTTTTGTCCATAAGTGTATCTTTCAGAGTTATTGTCTCAATCCAGATATACATGCTAAAAGGTACAACTTCCTTAAGTTTTGTCCATGAGTGTATCTTTCAGAGTTATTGTCTCAATCCAGATATACATGCTAAAAGGTACAACTTCCTTAAGTTTTGTCCATAAGTGTATCTTTCAGAGTTATTGTCTCAATCCAGATATACATGCTAAAAGGTACAACTTCCTTAAGTTTTATCCCATGAGCGTATTTATAAGAATTATTAGTTTCTGATTCTAAGCATAAATAACTTTTTTTTTTTGGAGACAGGGATAATTTTGTTCATACTTAGTTATCTCGTGTGTCTTCAATAAAGGTCACTGTAATATCTTTCAGAGTTATTATCTGAATCCCGATATACATGTTAAAAGGTACAACTTCCTAAAGTTTTGTCCATGAGTGTATCTTTCAGAGTTATTGTCTGAATCCTGATATACATGCTAAAAGGTACAACTTCCTTAAGTTTTCTCCATGAGTGTATCTTTCAGAGTTATTGTCTGAATTCCGATATACATGCTGAAAGGTACAACTTCCTTAAGTTTTGTCCATGAGTGTATCTTTCAGAGTTATTGTCTCAATCCCGATATACATAGTAGAAGGTACAACTTCCTTAAGTTTTGTCCAAGAGTGTATATTTCAGAGTTATTGTCTGAATCCCGATATACATAGTAAAAGGTACAACTTCCTTAAGTTTTGTCCAAGAGTGTATATTTCAGAGTTATTGCCTGAATCCCGATATACATAGTAAAAGGTACAACTTCCTTAAGTTTTGTCCATGAGTGTATATTTCAGAGTTATTGTCTGAATCCAGATATACGTGCTAAAAGGTACAACTTCCTTAAGTTCTGTCCATGAGTGTATCTTTCAGAGTTATTGTCTGAATCCCGATATACATGCTAAAAGGTACAACTTCCTTAAGTTCTGTCCATGAGTGTATCTTTCAGAGTTATTGTCTGAATCCCGATATACATGCTAAAAGGTACAACTTCCTTAAGTTCTGTCCATGAGTGTATGTTTCAGAGTTATTGTCTGAATTCCGATATACATGCTAAAAGGTACAACTTCCTTAAGTTTTCTCCATGAGTGTATCTTTCAGAGTTATTGTCTGAATTCCGATATACATGCTAAA